CACACACACACACACACACACACACACACACACACACACACACACACACACACACACACACTCTGGACTACATTATGCTGCTATTGAAAGGACACTGGGGTGATAATCAAGCATTTTTGTATTTTGTACTTATTTCATTTTTGGGGGGAAAGCTTGTTGGGTGTTTGTACACTATTTCTAAGTTTTCTGTGGATGTTTTGAAGGAATGTTCAGACTGGACAAATAAACATTTTTGTTTTGTTACGCTTTTTTTTGTTTTTTTCATAAAATGTACATAACTTCAGAAATATATATTTTTTAGAAATCTGACTTTAAAGACAGCCTTTTATGGAAATATGTGGATTTTTTTATCGATATATGTTCTAGGAAAATATACAGTACTTTAAAATGGAAAGATGATTTAGGATTTTTTTTCTCAAATGTACAACTTTGGGGAAAAGTCAATTTTCAACTTTTTTCATAAATATACAACTCTATGGAAATTTGACTTTTTTAACAACTTTTTCGAGAAAATATACAACTTTTTGGGGAAACGTCTGATTTTGAGTACTATTATTTTTTTGAAAAATACATTTCATCAATGTAGGACCATTTTAAAAAATAGATGACCTTTCAAATATATCAAAGCTTTTTTTGGAAATGTTTTGCAACCTTTTTTCTGAAACAGAACCCTCCCCCCCTCCAAAATAAACAACCATTTTTCTTCCCCCACCCCACCTAAAATATTGAAATAGTCAAAACACCTATTTGGCCCTATCTGTAGTTTTCTCAAATAATTTTGACAAAATTATTTTTGCATGGCTGTTGACAGTGATTAACTTTTGCTCTGCGATCTCGTCGGCTCCAAAAAGCACGACAGCAATCTATTCATGAAAACAAAACAAGGCCATGTGGCGCTTGACTTTTTCCACTTAGTTCTTGTCCGCCTCATGAAACTGAGCCTCTTGATATTTTTGATGTTGTGTTTTGCATCATTTCCTTGTCTTACCGATGAAGACATACTACAGATGTTTATTCCGCGCAGGTGTCGCTGCCCTCACTGGCACCTGTTTTTCTTCGGTCTCCGTTGACAGTCCCAAGCGGACATTTCGTTGTTGATGGATGACAAATGATTTTTAATCTAACGAATAATTTGTGCTCACCTGCTTGCCCGAGCGCACAATGCTGGCCTTTGTGTTCCCTACAGGCCTCCTTGGTCTACTTCCCAGGTGTGTTTGAAGTATTAAATCTTCCTCCCAATCCTGCTCCATAAATCTAACTGCAGAGAAATTTGTCACGTCATGAAAAGGCTTTGGTTTTATGAAAGCCATTATGCATTTTTTTTTCTTACGATGATGACTCGGATTTATTTCAGCTATCTGATGAAGCTAACAGGTGTGCGGAGCAGGCGCAATGTCATTCGCCAGGAGGTCATTGGGTGTTATCTGATGTACCGATGACCTCCTGGTTAGTGACATCAGCTTTCTTTCCCCAAAACTGTGTGTACACCCTCCTTCCACGCCACACAGACGCACTACAATCGCTTCTTCTAGTTGTCGTCGATACTTGAGGACATGCCGTCAGGAGCGACCAGCATGCTGGCAGGACATCTCGCTAATGACCTTCCGGTAAATGACTTGAGCTTCTTTTCGCCGCAACCATGTTTTTTGTCGGCATTCTGCTCCTGTTATGCACACAGGCTGCGATCTCTTCTCCTCATTGTAGTCCTCGCATTCTCCTCGTGTTTAGCACACACACACGCGGACACACGTTTGCACAGGCGAGCAGCGGCAAGCTGTCAGCGGCGTTAAATGACCTGTGACCGTTTTCACGGTGCATGTCATTAGGCAGCTTTAGATTTGTTTCAACAGCGCTTCACCTGTGGGCACCATTCACGCGCCCCCAGGTATGACGCCCCCCTCCCCCACAGCCCCCCTTCGCCGCCACCACTCCCCCATCCCATAGTCCCCTTCCAAAATTCCCGTGCTCACATCTCCTCCACCATGAACCACCCCCGGCTATGGAAAGTAGTAAAAACAGGCTGCGGTTTTGTTTTTACAACGCATCGACGTCTATCTTCATGGCGCAATGTCAGGTTTGTTTGTTTGTTTGCGTTAGCAGCTAGCTAGCACATAGTGAATAATAAGTGAGTTTTTACTCAAAACTTAAAGAACTAATGTAATGCATGCTGAAGCGCATTCCTACAGTTCCACATTTTCTCTGAAAATCCAACAGAAATGAATGAAGATCATTTCCAAGTTTGAACCATTCTTCCAGATTTCTGTACTTATTCAGCTACTTTCCAACCATCCCATTCTGGACATCTACAGAAGTATTTTTCACATTCTGTATC